ATCAGGAGATATTATCTTTGAAGAGGCAGTAGTTGGAGATCCAGATAGACCACACTTAAGTCTATTATCATTAAACAAATGGCAAGCAATTGTCCCATCATATGAAAATCTAGCATACGCTTTTAATACTCCTATAGGCGATCCCAAAAAATATGCAGAAGCACCATACATGCCCTATCTTATGGCTTCAGCTTGGGAACAAATTACAAATGTACTTAAGGCTGAACTCTGAAGAAAAGACCAGATAAAATCATCAATAGTGATATATTGTAATTATATGAAAATGGAAAAGAAAGATAAAGGGGATTATAAAGTAGAGATTCTATTTTATATCCAAAAATATCATTCTGGAAGGATGTGAGCTATTCTTTCAGAACAAGATATAGATGAGTATATAACATTATCAGCTAGAGAAATAGACGTGAAAATCGAAGAGTTTTTAAGCAATGGATCTGAATTGACATTAGTTCAAATAGAAATGATATATATTAACGTTTATGCATATAAAAGAGCTGTTGGAGGATCTTACAAACCAACACCAAAAAAACTTGCCAATACTAAATATACAATTAATCCAGATAACTCTAAATTAGGAGATAACAAATATTTACAATATGCATTCGTTCCATACTTTGCAACTCTTGATGGAGTAACCAAAAATTTACAACGTATTTCTGTTCTCTTACCATATCTGAATATAGTTAATTTGGACGGTATTCCAATGCCAACACCAATCTGCAATCGAACCTTTCAAAAGATCGAAGCCCAAAATCCAGAAATCTCAATCAATGTATGGGAATGGAAGGAAGAAACCGCGACTCCTAAAACTGTACTTTATAGTAAAAATTTCTATATACCTAACTCATGTCAAATTGTAGGATGTGAACATCCAAGACCAAATGAATGCATGACAAAAAGACCACATGTTATCCATCTTATGGCTCTTACAGATGTTATTAAATCTGAAGATACCGGTAAATATGGTCAAAGAAATCATTTTCTATGGATCAAAAATCCAGATGGTTTATCATTTAAGGATACTAAGCATAATGGAAAAAAATATCTTTGCAACAAATGCTTTCTAAGTTTTCCATCAGAAAACACTCGAGATTATCATCAAGATCATTGTCATGGGTTGGGAGAAGCTTCACAAAAAGTAGACATGCCCACTAAAGATAAAAATGATATCGAAAAATTCAAACACTATGCAAGGATGATGTTTTCCCCTTGTGTAATAAAAGCAGATTTTGAATCGAAAAATAAAAAATGTGATGAGACATATGGTGGAAGCATGCGCAAAGTTGGAGAACAAGTACCAAGTAGTTTCAGTTACACAGTTCATTAGATCGATACTGGGGAAGTTTGGGGACCTTTTATATATCGAGGTCCAAATGCTACACAAGAATTTGTTCGAAGAATGGATAAAGAATTAGTCCAGATTAATGAAGTCTTTGGAATCAATAATGATATAAGAAATGATAAAACTAGTTCAGAATATTTAATAGCAAAACAAAAATTTGACGAATCATCAGAATGCTGGATTTGTAACAAGCCATTGGATGGAGATAAGGTCTGGGATCACAACCATATTACAGGTAAGTATAGAGGTTCAGCCCATAATGATTGCAATCTTCAACTTCGAATCCAACCATGGAAGACGCCAGTTCCGATAGTGTTTCATAATTTCAGAGGTTATGACTCTCATCTAGTTTGTGAATCAGTTGGTCGATCTGTCAATGCACATCAGATATCAGTTATTGCTGAGACTTTTGAATGATATAAAATGATGAAGGTAGGCCAGTTAAAATATATAGACAGCATGCAATTTATAAACTCTAGCTTGGCAAAACTTGCGGATAATTTAGGTGCTGTCAAATGCAAAGATACAAAATGTAAGCATTACCATAGAATAGATAAAGATCGATGTATTGGAACTCTGGCAAATCACAAAATCACTAAACAGTATTATGAAAAATTGGGATATTCACCAGAACAAATAGCATTGGTATGTAGCAAAGGAGAACTTCCATATGATTATATCGATTCAGATGACAGGTTCAATGAAACAAAGCTTCCACCAATTGAGGCATTTCATGGAAAACTTAATGGAAAAATTACGCAAAAGGCTTATGAACATGCTCAAAAGGTATGGAAAGAATTCAGATGTAGAAATTTAGGTGAGTATCATGATTTATATCTCAAAACTGATATACTTCTTCTTACAGATATCTTTACAAAATTTCAAGAAATGTCTATGAAACATTATGGTCTCGATCCAGCACATTATGTATCAGCACCTTCATTGTCTTGGGATGCAATGCTTAAAATGACTGGAGTTGAAATCGAACTTTTCACAGAAATATCCATGCATGACTTTGTTGAAAAAGCCAAAAGAGGTGGTATTGCAATGGCAGTGCATCGATACTTTAAGGCTAATAATCCAAGGATGGGAGATGAATATGATCCATCACAACCAACAAAATGGATATCATATGTCGATGCAAATAATCTTTATGGATGGGCAATGAGTCAATTCTTACCAATAAGAAATTATAAGTGGCTTGCATCTCGAACAGTTTTAAGTAATAGGCAAGACTTGCAAAAGAGATATCTTAAAATGATTCTCAATACTAAGGCTGACGCTCCAAGAGGATATTTCTTAAATATTAAATTGCATTTTCCAAGCAAGTTACATGACTATCTTAATAATTTATCTCCAGCAGTTGAGAATGTCACAATAAAAAGAAATCAGCTTAGTCCATATAATAATAAGTTGGTAGAAGATTTAGATAGAGGACGATTCTCGGAGATAAAGAAACTAGTTCCACATCTTGGTCCTCGAGAAAACTATGTAATCCATTATCAAGAGCTTCAATATTATATAAAATTGGGAATGGTTGTAGATGAAGTAACCGAGATACTTTCATTCGACCAAACTAACTGGCTTGCCCCATATATTGATTTCAATACTAAGTTGCGTCAAAAAGCTGAGAATGATTTTGAGAAGGATTTCTTCAAACTTATGAATAATTCTGTATATGGAAAAACCATGGAAAATGTTCGTAAGTATCAAGATGTCAAGATCATGGCTATGAATGGAGATAGTGATGAGAAGAAGTTTTGAAAAAAGGTAAGTAAACCCTCTTTCAAATATGCTAGACAATTATCTAATACATTTATTGGTGCTCATATGGGTAAAGCAAGTGTAGTTCTCAATAAACCGATTATTGTTGGTGCATCAGTCTTGGGACTTAGTAAGTTATTAATGTACCGATTTTGGTATGGATATGTGAAAGAAAAATATGGAGACAAAGCCAAGCTTGGATATATGGATACTGATGGAATGATATTTCAAGCTGAAACTGAAGATATTTATAAGGATATGGCAGAAAGACCCGATATATTTGCTCTTAATGGAGATGTAACTATTGGTCTTATGAAGGATGAGTGTCTAGGTAAAATAATAACGGAATCTTTCCATATCCGAGCCAAAACCTATCATTATGTTATATCAGACAAATCTACCAAATCAAAGCATAAGGGAGTTAGTAAAGGGGGTATGGAAATAATAGCTAAAAATACATATCCAGATAGTGCTTCTCCTATGACCCAAGTATATCGAGATTGCCTCTTTGAAAATAAAGTATTCCATGCAAAGAATATAGGATTTCGATCTAAGAATCATGTATTATCATTGGTCGAATCTGAGAAAAAGTCACTATGTCCTCTTAATTCAAAGAATTGGGTACTTTCAGATAAAATTACACCTTGGGCATATGACCATTGGAGAACTGATGCGTATAAAAATATGATTAAAGCAGGTATGTCCCCTGAGTTGGCCGAAAAAAGAGCAATAATAGCTCAGCATCACCCGACATTAGAAAACAAGTATATGGTAAATCCAAAGTTACTTATTTAGAATGTAACCAGAATTATCGAATCCGACTCATGCCAGTGAGTTAGATTTACTAATGATAATAATATCTACCGAATACAAAGATTTTTTTTTTCCATAATATAATAAATATTCAATACTAATCACCAATCAGAATTGTATTATCGAAAAGAATAATAATATATTACAAAAATGACAGCACGAGACAAGCTAACGGAATGCGGTCTAAATTTTATTAATTGGGCAGAAACATCAGAAAACTGGTTAAAGCTATCAAAACTTTATCCAGAAAAATATTTGAGACGCTATTTATTAATACCTGGTTATGATATTAAAAATAAAGACCAATGGGAAAACTTCATATTCCGTGTTAAAAATAATTTATACATGAGAAAACAAATAGTATATAATCCAGAATTTAGAGAATTTAAAAAACAATTAGTAGAAACTGCAATAATAATGTAGGAAAAACAAGTCAGCCTACCCATCTACCATATTTAATTTTTTTCGACTGGTTTGATTGATTAAACAAAGATAAAGATTTTTTCCCTTATAAAACATCATCATAAATACTATATACATATTTATATAATATATCATCAATTTTATTTTCTAAATGTAAATAATCTGATATAAGATTATCAATTTTTTTCGTTATAATCAAAGGTAGAGATACATAATATAATACTTGAAGTCCTACAATAGCATGTTCAACATCAGATAATTTATATTCAAATAGCTTTTTAAAATTTATATCATGTATATTTTCTTCGAGTCCGGGATGATATATTTTATTATAAACAGGCTTACTGTCATCACCTTGAAGATGACCCAAATCATATATTAGTAATGTATTTAAAATACTGTGATTATATCGATAAAACATATTTCTATAAAATTTTATAATAACTCGAACTGCTTCCAATTGCCATGTATAATTAACTCTAAGAAGCTTAACTAAGTTTTTATAATCTGTAATATAGCTAAAGATATTTTCGAAAATTTCAGGTAAAGCTAAAACACGTTGTGTACTCATAATTAAGAATAAATTACGTATTTTTTGTATAATATATATTAGCAGAGTTATTTCACAGTACCAATCAAAATGATAGAAAATTTTAATGATCATGCAGAACGAAAAGTGAAAAATGAGTTTAAATATCTCAAAGCTTGTATTATAGATCTGGAATACGGAATGCGTATGTTCCATAAAAAGCTAGAGAATATTGTTGATCAATGTAATTATATGTATTCAGATAATTATGATTATAGTAGCAATACATCAGATTCTGAAACTGAATTATCTGATGATATGAAAACGCATAGTTATATTTTATCCAATGTTGTTTTAGTAAAAAAGATACATGAGTCTAAAGACCTCGGCTCTATCCGTTCTAAACCAAAAAAGAAGCGAAATAAGAACAAGTTATATAATTGTACAAAGGTACGTAAAGAATTTTTATAACTTTGACACATAAATTAATCGTATAATAAACCGCGATCACGATATTCTGATTTTTATAACCCTTTAGGGTTGTCCCCTTCGGTCCTGCATGTGTTTGGACGTACTTTACAAGTTAGATTCACATGTTTTTTGTGCGACCCAATTTCTCACATATACACTCATTCGTCGTTTTTTATTAATTTTCATGTTTTTCGACGATCATGAAACTCGCCTTTCCATTTCGATTTCGCTATAATAAAAACTTTACCTCTCACTTGCGATATTTCGGATGTAATACCATTTCGAGTTGGGCATATAAATTTTGAGCGACTTATGAGAGTATATAGATGAGAAAAGGTGGGTGTTTTGGCCATGTGAAAACTTGTCTTTATATGAGTTATGTCTACTAATATCTCATGCCTCGAAACTTTCGCCCTACATATTCTTACAAGCACATCTCCGGAAAAAATTCTAGACGAAAGTAGTATCCCCGAGCTAGACCCATGTTCGTTATGCAATAAAGAACTTTTTTTGTTCGAAATAAAAAAGCCATTCACCATACTCGTCTGTGGACATATATACCACCGTGATTGTATCGAAACTTCTATCAAGAAGCGTTCAATATGTCCAAAACCCGATTACAAGATGGAGGTGAAATCCGTAATTGATAGTATGTCTGGAAGCCAAAATACCAACAATATGATGAATATATCCCCTACATTATTTAACAACATTCAACTATATCCAAATTCACTTAAAAAGCGTGTTGGCGAACCTATCAAAAAAATATTGAGTAAGAAAGTGAAGATGCAAGCCAAAAAGGAAGAATCTCCTATATTGAAAAAACTTATCAAAGAATTGGCATCAATGGCATATGAAAAATCCGAGAAAGTAATAGCCCCACTAGTGTCCGAAGTCGGTGAAAATACAGTTAATTTTTTATTTCATTATAGCAAAATTACACATACCGAATCTCAAAGTGAGATAGCAAATAGGGAAGTTATTGAATGCTGTTTCAACTTCAGTGAAGCTATGAGAAAACATTTCGAACATTACAGGAATCTGAATCATGGAGAACGAGCCTGTTTAGCTCTGGTTAATGAAGAAATCCGAAAACAACTACCTGACGATATTACCAATGATGCTTAAAAAAAAGAAAGGAAAGAGCTGGAAAGATATACGATTTATTTGACAGTATCAGCAAAGTAAAAATAAGAAACATAAAATCATTTTCCGTATCATCTATTTCAAACTTAAGTCAGGATAATATAATTTATGTAATTGTTGAAATCTTGAAAAGAGATGGTAAAGTTTGATCGCATCCTTAATACTGCGCCTTATTACTGCGCCAGTGACATGAATGTCACGTCTGAATTTCTAAAATACATGTATACTATTAATTATCAGATATAATAATGCAAATATATATATATCAATAAAGTTGTAATTTACCCGAATTCTGGTTTTATTATGGTAATAGGTGACTTTAACTATGTATAGCAATTAGATCGGAAAATAAAGATATACAAATTATTTCGCAAATAAAATTAATCTTATGGTGGCAATACAATTTCGAAACTTGTAGCAACGCAAATCCAATTAATTGTACAGCATTTTTTGTAAACTCGGAACAATGAGTGGCCATGTATAGGATCACAGTCTCACATGTAATTATCAATGATTTTATTTGTGAATAAGGTTCACTCAAATTTGGGTTTATTTTTATCAACATATATGCGATTATTATACATAATATGATTACTTTGTATTTAAGTAATAATAGCAATATTATTAAAGTTCATAGGTGCCTCATCCTCGACAGAAGAAATTATATAATTTCCATCTAATAAATATTTAACCGATGAATATTAACCGATTTATTAACCTTGACAGATAAGATAATTGAACTCGGCCGAATGATTCAGAAGTGGTTTGTGAAGTATCCCGTAGAGTATTAAGGATCGAATCAGGATTTTGGTGAGCTAAAAGTTGATGTTGTCTTTTGAATTTACACTTGTTGGCTAATTAAAACCATCTGTTGAACTTGATATAAGTCGATTCTAAAATTAGCAGTCATCAATGCTGGAGGAGGAGGAGGCAGTGGTGTGTATCCAATTGCAGGAATTGCAAGATCGTAAAATACGTCACTAACGGGGATCGTGATTATATAGTTAGGATCGTTCGGGCCATTACAACCAGTAGCGTCAGTAGGGGAATCATCTTTATTCACGGTGCCAAATTTCCACTGTCAAAAAATTTGACTTTTTGAGCATCACAAGTTTTAGAAAAAAAATTTTCTCAACAGTCAAGCTTACTTTCTGCTTTTCAACGCCTTGCCGCCAGAGGGTAGCCTAATATTCAAAAGTTAAATATATTTATATAATTGTATAATAATTAAACAATGTGATGTACCTTCATTGCTCGATCTCTCTCTCCTAATGGGTTGCCGCGAGTATTACATATTTTATAAAGTTTGATGCCGAGTATAGACCGTACGTAAGATTGTTTTTTCCAAAGTTTGCATTTTTCATATAAGTTGGAGGGAGATTGAGATACAGCAACTTCGCAAATAATTCTTGCATGAGGTCTTCCCTACATCAACTATATTAATATCCGATTTTTTTATATCAGCTATTAAAATCACATATGATTAAAAGTACCCTCATATCACTAGGTGGTCCAGGGACAGGAGGCACTGGAACATAAGTTCGATGTGGATAGACAGCAAGATCCGGCATAATAAAAGTTCCATCTCCAGCTGGTGAGTGATGGCCTGTAGAAAAGCAATGAAAAGTATTAGGAAACAATAACAATCAGGAGATCGAGTAAACTGGAAGAAATTCTCTTACCTGGACTGCCACGAGTTTGTATTGGCGCATTAGGAGGTGCATAAGTAGTGAGAGGGCTGTGAGCACGAAAGTAGTCTCTCAGCGCATCAACAACAGCTTCATGCTCAGGTGAGATCATTTCGACGATATATACAGTTCCGCTTTTATATTCAAATTTGTATACACTTGACTCTTGATTTTCAATGAAAGAATTATAATCTCGCACGGAAACGTCTGAGGCAAGCGGATAAGGGAGACTGCAATTCGTACAAGTTAGCACTGAACGAATTAAATAAAACTAGCACGATGCCTACCCACCGGGTTTCGTTTAACGGCTTGTTTGGTAAATGAATCCTCTCTGACGAAAATGCCTCAAGAACCTTATGTAAATTAAGTTTACTCATTTTTACCATTTTTGCTCTTCGACGAGATAATTGAATATCTAAAAGAAAATGTAATTTACTAGTTTCCTGATTTTTTTTTGTGTCAAGGGACTTTATTCCTTTTTAGGTAAAAAATATTTATCCACGTGCTCGCTAGTTCGAAAAAAGGTTGAGTATTAGGCAGAATCAGGTATTTGACGAAATTAGGGGCAGCCCTTCGGATATCACGAACTAAAACTCAAAGATCTAGATCAATTTTCAACCTGTGCAATCGGAATCTTGGATCTGGACATTGCAAATATAAACGAATATAACTACCTAATGTATCAATATTTGATCTATTATTATGTGATAGTTTAAAATCTGCATAATGACCTTGTCCTAAAGGAAATAAATCAGGAAATAGTAAAAGTTCTATATTCGGATCTGAAAAAGAAATTGGCAAAATAGTATCATTGTTATCAATTAAAAATCCAGCCATTAAATGTGCATATCTATAATCTTCATTGTGAATTTCTGAATTAAAATCTGTATTCGGAACTATTATATCAGTAGGTTGTAAGTTGGTTTGCATTAATCTGACATTATTTTCAGAAGATGATAGGATTCTTGCAGTTGGAAATACTAATGGTGGTCCATTGATATCACCTTTATTATAAAAATGATTATATGTTTTGAAGAAATCATTATTACAACATAACCAAGAAGCTGCTGTTAATAAAATAGGATGATACCAAGTTTGTGAAGTATTATTTTCCAATAAGGTACCAATTGTACCTGAATACAATGTCAAAGCATGTAAATTTTTTGAATAGCTAAATGATTCTTGCATATGTCGATAGTATGTATATTGGTTTGATCCAGGTGTGTGACCTAAAGAACAACTTAAATGTATTGGTGAAAGGTATTTTCGATAATACATTGGAACTGAAGCAATTTCACTTGGAATTGGATCAAGTTTTGGTGGAGCTTGACGTGTTAAAGGATTGAGACATGATTTGTATGAAGCAATTTTTTCAATTTCTGAATTTGGATGAAAGCAGAGTGATACATTTGGAAATACTTCAGTAAGAGGATAAGTATTATCAGGTTCATATATAATCCATTTTGCATCCAAAGGATATAATAGTTTTGAACAGTAACTGCAAGGAACACATGGAAATTGATTTAAAACTGTATTGTTAAAGTGATTATATAATTTTTTAAGTTTATTTAATGGTTTCCACAAATCAAATTCTGATTGAATTGTTAATGGAGCAATATTTGATACCATACAAATTTGTGCTGGTGCTCTTGAATGATTAGCGTTTGCATTATTCTTTGCTATATGACCTGACAAGAATGTTACATCTAAGGATTCTGATTCAGCAAGCTCATTTCCTAAGAAATCAAGTTCCATTATTTGAATCTGGTGAGCCATCACTATTACTTTTTAAATAAAGTTAAAATTATATTAAAAATTATAGTTACTGTATTTTTCAAATGTAATATTGAAAGTTTAATAATGTTAGTTGTGTGAGCTAATTGTTATATTAGTTTTTGGAACAATCAAATTATCGCTTTTAATTATTTTATCAAAATTAGAATTTTTTAACAATACAGTTATTGTGCAAATTAAAGTTACAGCACTGCAACTATTATAGTTTATTAAACTTATAGTTACTGCATAATTATTATTACAGACATTATATCATCAGGAAATTTTTGAGGGCGAATATATCCGGATATATTTGCTATTAAAAATTTCCTGATGATGTTTATTATATTACATCGCATTATTAATTCATTATAACTTTATTTTTTATTTTATTTTATTTATCAAATCGAATTTAATTTTAGTATAAATGTTTAATTGAGCTTATATAATATTTGTATAATAACAACGCGTGATTATTCCGTAAGATTTTCTAGTGTGCTACCTTGTTGATAATAAATGATAATCTAAAAATAATCTTTCTAATAATGGTAAAATCTTTCTTTTTACAAAATAATAGGGATTTTTTTTTAAAAGAAAAATTAAATAAAAAAAGAAAAATTAGAAAAGGTATTTATTTTTATTTTTTTTCAAAAAAAAAAATTAAAATAAAAAAAAGAAAAATGATACTTACATTTCTCTCTTTTAGAAATACAGAATCAGCTGTATACATGTCGTCAAAACTATTAAATTGAGTCAGACACAATTAAAATTAGGAAAAATTGGAATTGAGTCAAAGAGCC